AATATTCAAGGTATTTGTAGTGAAGATCTGAGAAAGCCCGCTTGGCTTTGGGGTACAGATTATCCTTGATGGCTTGGGAGCAATTCGATGGATCAAGGGTGGTGGCCATCCTGCCAAGAAAAGACAAGGTGAGCAACGGGAAGGGATCCAGCCCTCTCAACACTTCGCTCTTTCCCCAGTGTTACTTTTCCACAGATTTTCATAAATAGTGCTGTTAGTAGCAACTTAAGCCACTGACCAGAGGAACTAGCTCAAAGCAATAGCGTCAGATACTCAGCTCAGATTTTAAGTGAGCAGGCTAATGCTCCTCTCATCAGAACAGCAATACTTTATGGTCTGATCTATGAAACTTGATCCATGACCCAGACCTGACCTTTAAGAAACAACCCTATTCCACTTCATTAAATTACTCTTAACGTTCTTTGGGATGGGCTCTTTCTGATCCATATTTCTCTAACCTCATCCAATAAGACACAACACCCATTCAAACAATAACAAACAAAACAACTTCCCAAAACAGAATAAAATCAGGCAAACCTTGAGCCCTTCTAACTAATACTCGCTTCTGGTTGCCATTTTGAATCATAATAGTGGCCTACCTGAAAAGGCTGCTTGTGGGATTACTAAAGAAAAAGTAAGCAATTGGATTCCCTGTCCATATTTACAAAGTCCAGAACGGCTCTCTTTTCTTGCAGGAGTGCAAATGGTGATGAAAGAATTCACTCACTTAATGCTGTCTTCAGATATCATGCGGAGCTGGTCCTCATTCAGGAGACAGATGTATGGCCCAAGGGCCTTCAGAAAATGGTGATCAATTTGGTTTCCCAAATCATTGTAATGACGAATAATTGAGATCCTCTAAAATAAATAATTTCAGAATCAAAACCAAGCCTCCTGCAATCTTATGTTGCTTTCGCCTTCCCAAACAGATGCCTTCCAGATGTGCTAGAATTGCCACTTCTAGAATTCTGGAATACACTGGAATGCTGGGAATTGCAGTCCCAACACACCTGGAGAGGGGCAAGTTGGCCTCATACTTAATGATATACATTATCATATATATACATATATATATATATCCTATAATGTATCATATAATACATAATGGAAGGATTGCTGACTTTCAGTTGCTCAAGTAAGTCGAAAGAGCAAATGCAGATGCTGGTGGCTTTGCTTATCATATTAAAGCAGGATTTAACTACAGTTTGTTGAACAAGCCCCAGCAGGCTGGTTTCCATGTCATGCTAAGCCATGAACTATGGTTTCAATGCTACAATGGCCCAGTTCAGGTATCACTCTACTCAGAACAAACAAATCCCGTAATGGCTTTACTTGACATATGAACCTGGCCCTAGAAATATTTTCAGTGCCCACCACACAAATGCAGAATCCTGAGTCTTCCAAAGCTATCTTTTGAGATCCTGCAAGGCTCCTGGTTGTTGGGATCATTTTGAGACTGCTGTCTTGTGGGCTGATGGGTGAACTTCAAGAGCATTTTGTACACGAGAGACACCACTCTGCCTTTTCCACTGGTTTTGTGAATGCTCAATGACCTCTTTCTAGATGGTGGCACATGATGTTTAATAGGCACTGTAGCACTTCCAGGTGTGTCTCTACCATCCCTGAGCATGGGAACCTGAAGGGGCATCCAAAGTGATTACCTTGGGGTAGACTTGCAATGGCCTTTCTGAAGCCATGGTTGTGGCTTGAGGAAGACGGATGGTTATGACGTCATAGAGATGGGCGACAAGTCCAATCCCTTGCAAGAATCCAAACTGAAGCATCCCCAGTGGAGAGCTATCCAGCTTCTTTCTGAGCACATCCAACAACGGGAGCTCTCTACCTCTCCTGGCCATTGGTTCTACGGCCAAACTGCTCATACCATTAGGATTGTTTCCTAATGTTTAATTAGAATCTATCTTCCTGTTTCTTAAGGCCATCTTTCTGTAGCTTGATAGCAAACTGGCCTTAGCCTTCTTACGATATTGTTTATGTACTTGAAGAATGGTATTCTGTCCCTCCACAGCAACCATTTCTGGAACTATTTCCATAGCTACAAAAGCTAGAACCAGAAATGACAGATATACTTGCCTATATTTACTTTAAATATATAAGGGAAAACTTCCAGATGGTAAGGTCTGTCCAATAGTGGAACAGTCTGCTTGCAGAGGTAGTAGGTGTTCCAGCTCTGGAAGTTTTCAAGAAGAGTCTGGACACCCACCTCTCAAAGATGATTTAACTGGTTTTCTGCACTTTGCAGAGTGTTGGACTAGACGATCCTTGTGGTCCCTTCCAACTCTGCAATTCTGTGAATTATAATACCCAGAATTCTTAGCCAATGCCTCTGGAACTCATCAGGATAGAAGAAGGCTGGCCCATTGCCCAGAAAATTCTAGGAGACCAGGAGTAAAATGGCAAGGAAGCAGCACACTCCCAATGTGTGTGAACAAGGGGAGAAACTTGGCCAGGAACTTATAATCTGTTTCTCTTTAAAGAAAATGATGGTTGTTTGTAAACACTAGGTTTAGAAGCAAAGAGAAAAACATCAGGATAGTTTGGGCACATGTTGGCCTTCTAAAATGATTAACCCTGTGGATTTTTGATTTTCATATTAAAAGCCTCGTCTTATCTTCCTAATTACCTGTTCATCACTGGACACAGAATCCAACAAAGCACGAAGTGTGCTTGGCGAATCAATAGTCCATTTCTTGATGTTGCTTTGATCCATTAGTTCAAAAAGGATTCCAAGGTTACTGACTACAGAAGGAGGATATTCCGTGGGAAATATCTGCAAGAACGAGCAAGTAACAGTGGGTATGAATGCAGGTTTACTTGGTATCACCTCTTTGATGCATGGATTTGTCCCAGGAGCCCGTTCCTGATATGGCATCATGAAGAGGCTTCTGCAGAAGGATTTCTAGCAGTCATCAGGACACTCATGAGGTGGAGATAAAAGAAGTCAAGTTGGTAACTATGATTGCTTAATGGAAGCCCTACTCCTCTTGAAATGTGCTGTGACACATATAAAAAAGGGTGGGGCTTCGATCATGCAACTGTGCTGCTATTTTTACTTTTCTGACCCACCAGCACCACAGATGCTCCTGGCAATCATCACAACTTGGTGTTGAAAGGATGACAGGCAGAGACGGCTCTGAGAGAGGGAGTGGTGCGCCCCCTCCTCATGAGGCCATCCTTGGATCCAGCCGATCTGGACAATTTTAGGAAAGGTTGTTGAGAAGGTGATTGGCCTCCAGCTTCAGAGAGCCCTGGAGGAAGTGGATTATCTGGACTCTTTCCAGCCAGGATTAAGACGTGGGTACAGTATGGAGATGGTTTGATTGCACTTGTTGATGACCTGTAGTGAGCTTGGGATGGGGGTGGTGTGTCCATTCTGGCTCTCCTTGATCTTTTGGTGGCCTTCAGTACTATTGATCATGGTATCCTTCTGGCTAGGGAATTGGGAGTAGGAGGCACCATTTTCTGGTGGTTCTCCTCCTTTCTCCAAGGCCAGTTCCAGTCAGTGTTGATGGGAAGGAAGCACTTGAGCCCTAGGTCCCTGCTCTGTGGGGTGCTCTTCCCCCCCCTTTCTTTTTAATATTTACATGAAGCCACAGGGGGAGGTCATTTGTAGGTTTGGGGTGAGGTATCATCAATATGCAGATTATGTACTTATAGATCTCTGTCCCCAGCCATCCAAGTGAAGCTGTTGAGATTCTTTCCAAGTGTCTGAAGACTGTGAGGGTCTGGATGGGGAAGAACAGATTGTGGCTCAACCCTACCAAGACTGAGTGGCTATGGGTTCTGAGTCCCCCAGGCCTGGTAGTTGCAGAGTTTCCACTTTGGTTTTGGATGGGATGGCATCTGGGGGTCTCCTGGAATCACAGCTCCTACTCAAAGAGCAGGTGGCAGCTGTGGCCAAGAGGTGTGTGCCAGTTGCACCCATTCCTGGACTGGGAGGCCCTGCTCATGGTTACTTAAACCTTGGTCACCTCCTGATTGGATTATTGCTCTACATGGGGTTGCCCTTGAAAACCATCCAGAATCTTCAATTGGTCCAGAATGCGGCAGTGCGGGTAAGTTATGAGTGCATCTTGTTATGCCCATGTAATACCGCTATTCCATGAGCTGCATGGCTCATGATAGGCTTCTGGGTGCGATTCAAGGTGCTGGTTATCACTTTTAAAGTCCTACATGGCATAGAACAGGTTTCTGGGGAACCACCTTCTCTCAAGAACATCTGCCCATCTCACATTGTTTGAGTTGGGTGGCCTTATAAATCTTAAAAATGAATAGATAAATAATTAGTTAAGAGTGCTGTTTTTCCAAGAAAATTGACATGCTCATTACCTCATCCAGCTTTTCTATGACTGCCTTCAATTGCTCAGTCGTGAAGGGGTATTCGGAGAACAAACTAAGATTATTCTGTAGGATTTCCTTAGTCAAGCACGATTTTAACTCCTCAGTGGTATAAAATAAAAGTTCATCGTTTAGCACCTCCTCTGTGATGGTTTTGTCCTCTGGGCACTCCGCTAAAAGAAAATTCATGAGTTAACCAAGGCTGGAGAGTTTTCAGATCTCTCCAGCCTTGTGAGAACAGAAGTAGGAAGACTATATGCCCTGTCTCAATATCCTGGCAATTGATCATTTATATAAAAAGATCAGTGGAAAAAAACCCAGACTAGACACCTGCCCGAAAAAGGAAGAACGTGAGAGCACTGATAGGCTAAACTGAGAAATCTATTCCTTCTGAACCTGGAGTGATGTATGCTAAAAAAGTTCCAGCTGGCAACCTTATTTAATTTTGAAAGTTACAGAAACACACACTATTTCTCTCGCCCAACATATTATACTACTCTGGATTTCAGATGAAGGGCAGACGCGTACACTCCATCCATAAAACTATGATTCCCCACAATCTGAAAACGGGCGCACGTGATTGAAGCCCCTCCCCTCACAGAAAAGGGGTGTGGCTTCAAGCACATGGCCGTGGCTGCCATCTTGACTTTTTTGATCTCACCGTGCCCCCCCCGCCTTGAATGCAATCTAAAGTCTGCCTTCTGCCTACAGTCTGCTACTGCTGTATGAAAACCATCAGGAAGCAACTCCACGTCTTACATACCAGGGGCGCGCTTTCGCCTGGAGGATTTAAGGCTTTCCCGAATTTGGACCAGCTGATCTAGTGGCAGATCAGAACGGAGAAAGGCCTTTTGTAACCATGGCATCAAAACACTCTGCAGAAGGAAAGAAGGACACCAGGTGATGGAAAGTGCAAGGTTTGGGAAATCCCACATTCATTATGGTAAACAGGGGCAGGATTTTGCTCCTATGCTCAAATATACTTTGCGTGGCTTTTGGAATCAAAATCCAGGAATAAAGGAACTGATGTCTTTTGTTTTCCACCAGCCACGGAACCCGTGTTAATAACTGGCATTTCTGTGCCCCAAAGTGGAAGACTTGCAAATATTTGGCTGTTCTACAGTGCGTCAAAACCCGAGAAGATCACAATTTACAGGTCTGAAGACTTCTCTTCCCTTAATATAAGATCGTAATCTGATGCAAAATACTGTAATGCCAAGGACATTTCCACTTTTCTTTCTCCACTCCATTGTCTAGAGAGTTCTAACTTAATTGTCTTACTGGATGAAACGTTTGGAAAGTGATCATCAGTGTGAAGATTATTTTTTACTTGGTTACAATTTTTTGTGTTTTCTGTTTCAGGTAGCCAGTAGAAAATCACCACTTTGCAAAAAAACTACAGGAGGCTGATGCCATGTCACAGCAAATCAGCCTCAAAGCGATTGCTGATGGAAATTTGGAGAAATCTGAGATTGCTGGTTGTTGCCATTTACCCCTCTGGGACGGAAAACCTTCCCTTGAAGTTGTCATTCACAGATTTCTAGAGCGGCTTCAGCCATTGAGAATGGCTCAGATTCAAAAGGTGATCAACACTGTGGCTCAGTAGTGGGTAACTGAAACATACTGATTCTGCTTCTAAGCTCATTTTGTTTTCTCGCCTTTCTTTCTCCTGGTGGAGTCTTAATCCTTCCCCTTCTGTTCTGCCTGTTTTTTTCCTGATATACCTTAGGAATGGCTTGCAGAATGCTGGGACCCAGGATTAGGATCAGATGACCTAGTTCATCCAGAACAGAAGATGTCCACGTAGAAGGAGGTCTGGGAGAAAACAAGTGGGATCAGCAACCCCTTTTGAACGAAATAGCAAGTGGAGCTCAGGGATGGGACTTGGGTAGCATTCGCTGAGCACATCTGGCAAGGCCATGAAATGCACCCACGTTGGGGTTTGCACAGGATACCGAACCGTATTCTGACTAAGCAGGCTGAATGTGTGCAATGCCAAAAACAAAGCCCTAAGCAAGTTAGCATTAACTAACTTCAGTATGTTTTACTTATTTATTTATTAGGTTTATATCTCACCTTTCCTCTAGGAGTTCAAGGCGCTTTATGTAATGATCCCCCTTCATTGTGTGCAAATGCAGCCGTGAGGTTTTTGCCTGACCTGATCAAAGCTGGCCGTGGCATTCTCAGGAGTGTTTCTCTTTATAGGTATTTAAAAGGATTAACATACAGTGGAAGAATGGTTGCACAGAACATTTGCGCAGGGTGATTTGGTGCTAAATGAAACATTTACCATGTAAATTACTATATGCCACACAGTCTGCATTTGCAAATCTGCAATTTCCATCCCGCCACAAAGGATGGCAGCAGCTATTTAACCTTCGCTAAGCCTTAAAAAAGGTGCCTCGGCTTAGGCCTGGGTGTCCTTGAATAGAAGACCGCCAGGAAACCGAAGGGCTGTAAGCCAGACTGGAAGCTGAAAAAGCATTGCAGAGCAGGACAGTGCAAAGTAGTGATAAAGCAACAACAGCGTGTCCACCTAGCCAGCCAAAGCTGAGCTCGACCCAAGGAGTTTAAAAAAAAAGTCGTGTGGGACCTGAGCCCCAAGAGTCATCATTTTGAGTAGGGCAGGTGTTCTATTTAGAGGTCAAGGCTCAACCTCTGGCATTTCCAGGCAGTGGCTTGCAAAGACTTGGGCAAAACTCTCAGATGTTGCTCCAAGCAATACTCTGGGTCAGTGTAGTTCTAAAATAGGTAGACTGGGGCCAGTCCTATTATTAGTCAGAAAAAAGTGGTGGGCAAGAGCACCCAAGAAGGAAGGAAGGAACCTACAGGAGCTTTTGATGTGCAGACCTATAGCTTCATGATAAAATATAATTTTGCATCAAGAAATCCAGACACCCAGTCCTGCCTCACACAGACAAGATAGCTCTGTAACTTGCACACACACACACAAAAGGAGGATTAATTCCAAGGCTAGCCCAAACAGTTTACACATCATCTCTTTTCAGAAAACTGCCCCAAACTAACAACTCGTCCTACCCAAATGAAGTATTTCCACTGCTGAAGATTGCTTGAATTGCTTGAATTTGGTCTGGAGTAAAGTGCTGGCACTGACTTAATTGTTTTAGCAAATTTTCATCAGAAGCTGCAATAATATCTCCAGACACCTCACAGACCGAGTGGTCCGGAATTCCGGCATCTTCCTTGCTGATCACTGGGCCAGATATATTCTAAAGAAAAGTTTACAACACGTTGATAAATTAAGTGGAAAACAAAACATCAACAATTGAATAAACCAATGTCCATTTAATTAATGAATTCAGTTAATTCAGTTTCCTTTAAGAATAGCATAGGCACTATTTTGTGAAAAACTGTGACATTAATTTAGCAGTTCATAGATCTGAGTCTTGTGGTAAGACCAAGTTTTACAGTAACCACAGACAGGCAACTGTTTAAAAATACTCTTCCACTTTCTGCCTCATCAATTAAATGGTTCCTCATTAGTAACTGGATAATACCAAATAATTTTAGTTGATGAATCTATCCGTTAAACTTTGCAGGCTTAGAAATGTGCAGTTATGGGTGTAAGGCAGGATCAACCCACCTTTCTGGGTCAGGGGGCCCATCTAGAACATTGACAGCAAGTTGCAGGTGCTCTCACAGAATGGCTGCCATTACCGGTATGGCCGATAAAACATGGAAAACAAAATTTAGATTGTTCCCTGCCACCCTTAGCTTCCCATCTCCCTTCATAATCAACATCCTTCACTTTTGCTTTATTTTAGGGGAGGGTTCCAGGGTAATAATCTAGACTAGGAAATTGAATAGTGTCCCAGAAGAAGGCAATAGCAACCGCTTCCATACCGTTGTATGAAAACAACATGGACACATCTAATTCTGTTTAATCCCAGGGAGATTTTCCTATTAACTATATAAGTGCAGTGGTTATTTAATAAGCTTTAAAGAGTCATGGAACCCCAAATTGTCTTATGACCTTAGAAGTAATGAATAGTGGGGATCCAATACTTCCCACTGTTTGGTTCTCTTCCTCCAGAGCAGTGTTCCTCAACCTTGACCACTTGAAGATGTGTGGACTTCAACTCCCAGAATTCCACAGATTTCCATCACTGGCTGGGAAATTCTGGGAGTTGAAGTTCACACATCTTCAAGTGGCCAAGGTTGAGGAACCTGCTCCAGAGATAAAGAGTCTAGATCCTAAACAGATTCAAAAGGAATGTAGATGTACATAGTCAATATAAGTACAGAAACGCAATACATACCAGGGATTTCACTGCATCACTGGGGGTGAACACTGTTGCACAACCTAAAGTACAAGACATAAGATTTGTCTTAAAGATATTTAATTGAAAATATATAATAAGACTGCTTTTCTCTGCCAAGCTCGTTAAGTGGAATATTTATTTATTTTTATTTGTATATCAAATCTGTCACCACCTATCTTGTTAGAAAGCAACTCTGGGCGGTTTACAGGAAAGATAAATATTAATTAAAAATATAATAATTAGTCCCAAATATATAGTAAGTATCTTCCAAGATAATTGATGGTAGCTTGAAAATTATGGGGCTCGGGGAACGTCAGCCACCCCCAGCGTTGGTCAAAACTCTTCTTGCCCATGCAAGTTGGCAGAGCCAGGTCTTCAGTTCTTTCCAGAAAGCCAGGAGGGGAGAGGCCCGTCTCACTTCTGGGGGGAGAATATTCCAGAGGGGGGGCAACAGCAGAGAAGGCTCTCCTCCTGGGCCCCACCAACTAATGTTCTCTCATGATGGGGTCCGTAACATGCCTCCTCTGCCTGCCCGGGTGGGGCAGGTCAATGTGATGGGAGTGAGACGGTCCCTCAGGTAGCCATATTTTCTGTGCCATATTCTTTGCCGTATCATTTTTAAAAGTAATAGACAAACACTCTTGCTTAGATGTGTACGGCTTGTGCTTTCTGATCACACTTGTTCAGCGGTTTGCTTGGAACACACAAAGCAAGAATAAAAAAACACTTGTCCTCTAGAGCAGTGTTTCTCAACCGTGGCCACTTTAAGATGTGTGGACTTCAACTCCCAGAATTCCCCAGCCAGCA